TAAAAGTTGGTTTGAAAAGTAGTTTAAATATATTTTAAGTATATTAAATATATTTAAGTTATAATAATTAAAGAATAGACTATGGAGATTTTTTATATCTACAATAATATATATTTTTTTTATTTTTAAATTTGGAATGAGAAAGTTGAAAGACCGAGAGATAAAATGTTAAATGACACGAATAATTGCAAATTTAAGTTTTTTTAATGATTATCTTTAATGATAAATTTCCTCTTAAACCTATAAACAGAGGTCATGGATGACGAGAAGAACCACAAGTGAGAAGAATGATAGGGAGAGAAAAAGAGAGAAATTTGATAGTATAGTCTTTCTCTATCTAGATTTTCCAGATGAATAAAGTTGTCTCTGCCTTGAGTAGCAGACGAGCAACAAGATAATCTTTCACGTTGCGGTCAAGAAGAAAGTTGTTTCTATCCTGTGTAGCAGGCGAACAAATAGATATTTTTTCCTGTTGTGGCCAAGAGAAAAGTCGTCAACATCCTACGTAGCAGACAAGCAACGATATTTTCTTTTGTCTTACAGCCAAGAGAAAAATTGCCCCCGTTCTGTGTAGTAGTTGAGCAAAGAGATCTTTTGTGTTGCAGCGATAAGAAAAGTCGCCCACCTCTTGAGTAGCAGATAAACAATGAGTCTTTTTTTGTGCTGCGACCAAAAGAAAATCGTCAATGTACTGTGTAACAAGCGAGAAAAGATATATTTTTTCTAGTTGCAACGAAGAGGAAAGTTGTCCCCATCTTGTGTAGCAAACAAGGAACAAAATCTTTTTTTATGTTGCGACAAAGAGAAAATTCATCAACATTTTGCATAGCAGACAAACAGCGAGAACTTCCTTCACGTTGCGGCGAAGAGGGAAGTCATCTCCGTCATAAGTAACAGACGAGCAGCACGATCTTCTTTCACGTAGCGAAAAAGAGGAAAGTCGTCTCCGTCCTGCATAGCAAGAGAGTAACAAGATTCTTTTTCATGTTACGACGTAACAAAAAGTTGACATTGTCATGTATGACAAACGATCAACGAGATCCTCTTTCATGTAACTGTACAGAAGAAAGTTATTTCGTCATGCGTAACAAAACGGGTTCTTTTGCATTAATGAGACGAATAAAGTTATCTTCGTCTTTGCCCAACACGTGAAACCGGATCTTATTTGTTGCTGATGTACATTTCTATAGAGATGAATAAATGCTAGAGTTCTCCCACCGCGCTTTGAGGGGAAGATTTTCATGCTTCTGTTGAGCCTATATCTCTTGTAA